TTGATTTCACCTCTTTAGCATCTTTCACAAAGAAGATGGTGTCGATGGCGAGAGAGACCAGACAGCACACCTGTAATCGCAGCAGTGACTTTCACAGTTTTAGAGCAGTGATTCTACCAATGTTTGCGACAAGCCCAATTCTCACAAGTTCAGATATTCCAGTCAAAGATTTTGCTCCAGTGATTCCAGCTTATGAAAAATCAGCTGCTGGGAACTGAGGTTCCAAAGCCTTTATTTCTTCAGCATTGTCCTGTATGTCCTTACTTTAATTAGACAGACAGGATTTACTTGTTTTGAACAATTCCATTACATGAAGATTTGCACTTATAGTACTTGTACACAGAGCATGCATAAACATTTTATATAAATATACAACAGAACATCTTTCTATTTTAACCCTAAACATGCAGTATCATATTTGAGTATGTACCCTGATTAGGCAACATTTATAGCATCTGTCATACTTTACAATTCTTGTTTTAAATTATATTGCTCAGAGGCACATTCCTAGTATGAAGTATGTGTATAAATAACCATTCTTGATCCTAATGTGTGTGTGTGTGTGTGTCCTGGTTTTCCCTATGTTATGGGGACCCACAAGGATATAAATACCAGTAACTTTTTACCTTGTGTGTGTGTGTTTTTTTTTTTTTTTTAAGAAGACAGCTTTTAAATCATACACAGTGAAGTGTTTTGAAACTCTAAAAATGCAGAACGTTTTGTGTGATGGGTAGGTTTAGGATAAGGGTTGAGAAAATACAGTTTTTGTACAGAATAAAAATCATTATGTCGATTGAATGTCCCCATAAAACATGGAAACCCAACGTTTGTGTGTGTGTGCGTTCGTGCGTGAATACACATATAAGTGTATGTCAATTTGACTGACAAGAACTGAAAGCTCAAGAGAAGTGTCACATTTTAAGACAGTCTTATCATCTAAACATTATGTCTTATCTAAATATCTTTGACAAAAAGCCACTTAGAGAAAATATGGTGTCCAAAGAGAAAATGGTGTCAAGACCCAGCGACCTGATATGTTCATATTCCATTATGAGCTCTTCCAGAATTTTTTGAGAACTGTGAATAGGTTGTTCTAACAGCAACAATATAAGTCTTTCAGCCAGGTTCACATCTCCTCCACTGCGCTCGGCTCTTTTTGTATCGTCTTCTGCATAAAGCAGAGCAAATTTTTCAGCCAAGTTCACATCTCCTCGTTTGATTTCACCCCTCTTTATAAAGTCTTCTATCACAACAAGGGCAAGTCTTTCAGGCAGGCTCATATCTCTTCTACTTACAGCCCTCTTCAAAGAGTCTTCGGCCAGAAAAATTGTATGTTTATCCAATAGTCTCACATTTCCTCCTCTGCTTTCAGCCCTCTTCAACTTCATTACAGCGTCTTGAATGTTATTCTTGAGTTGGTCTACAATCATACACTTCATTTGAAACTGTTTACTGAGCAAAGTATCACCTTCTGTTGTCTGCTCTCGTCTTGATGATTTCACACAAGTAAGAATATGTGCCAGTTGTGACTTGCATGAATTTACTGCTTTGTTGGCCTTTTCCAAATCAGCCAATGCCATCATTTCTTCATCAATAACTGCTTGTTCACATATTTCCTTCATAATCTCATCCAGTGTTTTCTCATCAGTGTTTCTGCCTATGTCATTAATTTTGGCCTCAACCTGATCCACAATGTTACTGTCATCCGATGTCAAATCTGACACTTGGATTTTGTGAATCTTCACTTGATGAAGGATTCTCATCATCCATGTGTGAAAATCTTCATTCTTGCCATTAAATTCTTTCACGAGGGCTTTAAACAACTTAACAACATCATCTCTTTCCCATTGTCCGTTCTTCAGCAGGGAAAGTAGTCTTGATGACAGCAGTTTTCCTGATGCTTCCCTTTTCAGAAGTCTGTAAATTATTATAAATTATATTATTGTTTTATACATACATACATACATACATACATACATATATATATATACATACAACAGTTCGTTCTGGTTCTCAAATCTGATTGGTTGAGAACCGTGAGATATTGTACTGGTATCGCTACAGAAACGCCCTTTCACAATTTTGTATCACTCCGCTTGTTCTAGCCGGGTCTATTTTTTGTATTATTATTCACTGAGCTAATTGTAGAGTACGTTAGTTAATATAAGAAGAAACGTCTAGCTTCGCGGTCTCTCTCTCTCATTTGAATGCACGCCTTTCCACATTGTTTCTCTCTTATAACCTCATTATTTCTCACTAATAACCGAACTGAAGCAGCACATACCCTTTATACGAATTCTAAAAGTGACGTATGTTTAACTGTTAACTTGAGCTTTGAATCCGTGGCGGAAGGAAGTAGTTCCGCACAAAAGAGGGTTTTATTAGGCACTCCATTGTTTCTTGTTTAATTACACACATTTTCCGTCGAACTGTTGTATAAACACAATATCCCTCTCATACTCGAGCGATACAGGCTCTATATCAGCGGCTGTGATTGCCTCGTGCCTCTGGCCTAATCACAGCCATGCTGCTCATTCTCGTGTTCCCCGTAAAGGGCAAATGTATCGATACTCGAAACAACGCTCAACAATGCAGCGATAGGCCGGCGGCAAGACAGCAACGTCATGACATCATATAATTAAAAAAGACACCTGACGAAAAACTTGACAAATTTCTGGACCTTTATAAGGAAACAGCCAAGCGAACAAAATTAAAGTTTCTTAAGGGTCAAGATCAAGTTATCTGCATCTCCTGTGCTCCATCAAGCCACTCCCATAACAGCTGTCATTACTCAAATTAATGCACGACTCAGATTAACTGTATGTGTGTAAGACTTGAATACAATTATAACTATTATAACAATTATATTATTTTATCACAAATAAATCGTTCAATAAGTAAAACTGGCTGTGTCTGTAGTATTATAGATTACACAACATTATAATATTATTTTCAAATTAATTTTCAAATTATTATTATTTGAAAGATTATTGTCCCCGGATTAGTAGGGCACTCTTGTAGTAGAGTAACAGTGGCTGGGATAGATTTTAAATATCAATTCCACTTAAAAATATTCAATCTAATCATGTTTACATGAAATAAGCCGCTCCCGAACAGGTTTAAGTTTACAGACCTGTTGCTATGACAGCAACTCCGGGATGAGCTTCGAAGAACCAAATAATCCAAGATCAAGCCAAATCATCAACAATCAAATCCAGCTAACTGAGTTAGCAAAATACGAAGAACAGACCCCAGGGGCCTGTACCATGATCAGGGGCCTCTAACAAATTCAGAGTTACAGGATTAGTTTCGAATTGACAAAACCAGACCACTCCAACCCAGCTTTATTGGTACCATGATGCTGATCATCAGTTTCTTTGTCAACTCAGGCTTTAATCCTGAGTTTGTGGAGCACGTGCACATGAATGTGTGATATCAGTAGCGAACAGCCAATCACATGCCTTGCAACACAAAGCAAGTGTGATTCACGTGAGAGAGCCAGCGAGATTCAAAACTCTTTTGTTAAAGGATGAGATATTAAAGAATATAAGGATTTTACATTGAAGTCCAGAAATAGGACAAATAAAAGAAATGTTCTGGCTCTATTAGTGCAGTCACAAGTGAAACTTATGAAGTTAGTTTACTATAGTTGATAATATATAGCGATAGAGACTTGAACATGTAAGGTCACATGTGGCCATTTTTAAAGCGTTATCTATTGATTCTACCGCTTATTTATATTACTTATGATCTGTATACATTAATTTTCATTTAAAATAAATGCTTTATAATAATTGTTCAAATAAAAGTGCTTGTGTGTAATGGATTAATAATAATATAGTCATGTTATAATTATATAAATCATGTGTAAATTGTAATTATCATTAAAGCCAAATAAATGCTTTATAATAATTGTCAAACTAAAAGTGCTTGTGTGTAATGGATTAATAATAATATATTCATATTATAATTATATAAATCATGTGTAAATTTTAATTATCATTAAAGCCAGACAATTTTCTTGTAATGTTAAGTACTTTAAAGTTACCTTTAATTTGTAGGGAGAGAAACTGGGGGAGATACTTGTTTGTTTGTTTTTTTTGCGTCAGACATCTGCCAATTTGCTCACATCTGATTGGTCCAATTTCAGGTTGAGATCTCTTACCCAGAACATAACCTGCCCTGGAGCAGGTTAGCTGTGCAGTGTATGTTACTATGGCAATGAACGCCGCTAAAAGCCAAGCCACTGTCATGGTACCTAAAACCCAGGATTGGTGCAAACTAAACTGAATTCATCTGGCTAGCTAGCTACTCCGGCTTCATGGTACAGGCCCCAGGTGTCTTCTGTCTACTCATATGTTATGCTGTTGTTTTGACTTGTTGAAAACGATGTTTTTAAATAAATGGTTGTTATTGCAGCCGAAGTTGTTATTGCAGCCGAAGGTGGATCATGTTTCAGACATTGTAAACTTTCCCTCTTCATGTTTGCATTAAAATTATAACCAGCATGTTTAATGTCCACCTCTTGCTAAAAAATCGTTATTGTCGATTTTGCTGACAACCCATAGGACTCTTGTGCCTAACTTGTGCTCCTAGTAATCAATGCTATTATTTTCATGTGTCTCGTTCTGTGTTGTTTATTTAAGATGATCTGGGGCCCGTTCTTCGTACGTCGCTAACTCAGTTAGCTGGATTTGATTGTTGACGATTTGGCTTGATCTTGGATTATTTGGTTCTTCGAAGTTCATCCTGGACTTGATGTCATAGCAACAGGTCCGTAAACTTAAATCTGTTCGGGAGTGGCTTATTTAATGTAAACAGGATTAGATTGCATCTTTTTTAAGATACTTAAAATCTGTCCCAGCCACTGCTACTTTATTACAAGAGTGCCCTACTTATCCGGGGACAATAATTTAAAATAATAATAATTTAGAAAATTAATTTGAAAATGATATTATAATGTTGTGTAATCTATAATACTACAGACACAGCCAGTTTTACTCATTGAAAGATTTATTTGTGATAAAATAATAACTTTATAATTGTATTCAAGTCTTACACACATACAGTTAATCTGAGTCGTGCATTAATATGAGTGCTGACAGCTCTTATGGGAGTGGCTTGATGGAGCGCAGGAGACACAGATAACTTGATCTTGACCCTTAGGAAACTTTAATTAATGCTGTCACGTAACAAATCTGCTTCAAAGATAAAATTACATGAATTGCTAATTACAACATTGAAATACAAATGTAAAGCCTGTACAAATACTAGAAATCGTGAATATAATTAATTGGGAATCATGTAAAAAAATAAAAAATAAAAACTGTGCACATTTAATTTATCTATTATAACATTTATGTAGTTTTGTTCACTTGGCTGTTTCCAAAAATTTGTCAAGCTTTTCGTCAGGTGTCGTTTTTAACATAGATATGCATAGGTAGATGCCTCATTCGACAACTCCAAGCATGTAGACGCGTCTGCTATCTTTAACGGTCCACTTGACATCATTCATCATAATAATCAATGAATATTCAAAGATGCCACAATCCTGCCTAGCCGATGTTTGTAAAAAACTGCCAGGATTTAAATTCCCGAAGAAACAGGATAACCTTTCAGAGAATGCGAGAGATGGGCGGAATCATAAATTGTGGCATCTTCGAATATTCATTGATTATTATGGTGAATGATGTCAAGTTGACCTTTCCAATATGGCGGACAGCTTACTTATAGCGGCCCAACAGCGGCCAAACAGTCGCTAACGATTATTCATGATTGATTGTCATTGTGTGCTGCTCACAGTTCAAAGTCACTGAGATGTTGATCTTGCTACATGCTAAGCTACTGCTAGTGTATACTGTAGCTATTATTTCGTGGCCAGGAAGATAACTAAGCTAAATCTAAATATTTATAATCTTTATAACCAGTTCTAATTAATTACACATATTTCCCATTTGAGCCAATTTGCTACATTATCATTAGCGATTGCTATTGTGATAATCTCTCTGTTTATGGATATGATGAGACTCACATGAGCGAATGATGTACAGTCATGGCCAAAAGTTTTGGCAGTGACATAAATTTTGTGTTTTGCAAAGTTTGCCACTTAAGCTGTTGTGGTGTTCATTCACATTGTTTCTAGATTATTGAGTAGAGCAGTGTTAATTTTGACAGCAAATTTTGATTTAGTTTTAGTCATAGTTTTTTGACTAAAATGCCATTTAGTTTTAGTCATATTTTAGTCATCTGAATTAGTCGACTAAATATCATAAGATTTTAGTCGACTAAATCTACAGTAAATTTAGTCTGCTAAAATCTAATGGGTTTAGTTACAGTGCATTTATTAAGCATTTCTCTAAAATTTCCAAACTCATTATATAGGTTTGACATTAAGGTTTTATCATGATAGACACCGTATTAACTGCGTTGACACACAACATGCCTTTATGTTAAAATAAAATTAAAACCACTTCTCACAAAGAACAAGAACATGGTCTTTTTTTTATTGAATTACAAAATGGTTAAGATTTTAGTCGACTAAATCTACAGTAAATTTAGTCTGCTAAAATCTAATGGGTTTAGTTACAGTGCATTTATTAAGCATTTCTCTAAAATTTCCAAACTCATTATATAGGTTTGACATTAAGGTTTTATCATGATAGACACCGTATTAACTGCGTTGACACACAACATGCCTTTATGTTAAAATAAAATTAAAACCACTTCTCACAAAGAACAAGAACATGGTCTTCTTTTTAATGAAATACCAAATGGTTATATAGGCTAATTATGCATTCTTTATAGCAACTTGTTTACCATATTCTTCATTCTTTCAAGCAGACATATATATTTTTATAAATAAATTTAGATTAATCTTTAGGGCTGCGAAAGTTTTCAGTCAAGAGCAGAGCGTGATT